CTTGAGGCTGTTTTCGTTAGAGAGAAGAAGGTTAAGAGGTGACTTAATAGAGACATACAAGATGATCAGAGGATTAGATAGGATGGACAGTGGGAGCCTTTTTTCTCAGATGGTGATGGCTAGCACGAGGGGACATAGCTTTAAATTGAGGGGTGATAGATATAGGACAGATGTCAGAGGTAGGTTCTTTACTCAGAGAGTAGCAAGGGCGTGGAATGCCCTACCTGCAAAAGTAGTAGACTCGCCAGCTTTAAGGGCATTTAAATGGTCATTGGATAAATATATGGATGATAATGGAATAGTTTAGGTTAGATGGGCTTCAGATTGGTTTCACAGGTCGGCGCAACATCGAGGGCCGAAGGGCCTGTACTGCGCTGTAATGTTCTATGTTCTATGTTCTATCTCACACGTGCACTATTAGAAGACCTGAATGTTTTGAGATTCTGAGTACATTTCATGCGTAGATACAGACAAAACTGGAATAAATGTACAATTTTTCCCTTTGACTGATCATTTCTTTATATGCCAGATAGATTGGACTACCTGAATTGCAATTGATAGTGCATGTAACTTTTTTTGTGCAAAAATGGAGAAATGGACTTGTACACCATTCAATGTGACTATCCATGAATACTTGACAATAAATGTAGCGGCTTTCAGTTTGGAGGCAGAAGCCATTAAAGTCTGCCTAAGGGGACACTTGCTATTTCTCTTCCTCTGTCCCTGCAGCCATGGATCTGTCTAAAAGCAGGCAGCACAGAGAACAGTCAACAGACTGAAGGTTTAACCACAACAGATCCATAGGTATGTGTTAAGGCTGATCTGTGCACGGTAGGTTCTGCTGCAAACAGTTTGAGTGAGATTTGGATGAATTGCTGTGTCAGGTTTCCTCTCGAAAGTAGTGAGAACTGCAGATGCAGGAAAGTTGACATTACAGGTGTTGTCTCTCTGTCTCTGATGCTTGCCTTCAAGAAGGCTGTACTGTTTTCATTTGGTTGTGCCAGATGCAAGTGAGTGAGTCTCTCCCAGAAATCTGCAAAGGGTGTACTTGCCCTTGGGAAAGTGCAATGAAAGTTCACCAAGACTGGACAAGGGGAATGCCCTCTCAAAAGAGACTGAGTGACCAGCTCTTTGGTTTTGCTTTGGTTACAAAAGCCTTTTCCACTGCTCCAAAGTTTAGAAGAAGCAGAGATAATCTAATTGAAACTTATAAAACTGTTAAGGAGCTATCAGGATCAGTGCTGAGCTGTTTCCTAGGCTGAATAGCCTAAAACACAGAGGTGATTACCTTAGACTAAGGGGCCAATTACACAGGACTAAGATGAGGAGAACATTCTTCACTCAAGGGATTGAGAATCTTAGATTTCTCGCCCTGGAGAGTTGTGGATATTAAGTTGTTGAATATATCCAAGAAAGAGCTTAGAAGAATGAAAGGTTATCTCATTGAAACATATTGAAATACAAATAAGAGTCTGATAGATTTTTGGGTATTAATTAAGTGATGTGGGGTTCATCTGGGAAGATGTAGCTGAGTCAGACGTTCAGGCCAAGATCCTGTTGAACAAGATTGTAAGGAAAATATAAGATCAGAAATAGGAGCAGAGTTAAGCCGCTCAGCCCTTTGGACCTGACATGCTATTCATAAGAACAAGTCTGATCTGATTGTGGCCTTGACTTCTTTTGTTGGTTGGGCATTGTCTAACTCAGTTTAAATATTTTCAATAACCCCACCCGGCTTTCTCTCTGTAGAAGTGAATTCCAAAAACTAATGACCCTCTGCAAGGAGAAATCATTCATCTCAGCATTAAATGGGAGACTCCGAGACAACAAGGTGCAGGGCTGGATGAACACAGCAGGCCAAGCA